CCCCCCGGCAGCCAGTCTGCACCAGACTGGAATCGATGACTGAGTGGAAGTGTCAGTAAATAACCAGTCAATGAAAACTGTATTTGTGTTAGAAAAGACAAAGCGAGTGGGGCCATGACTTTGCTGTTGTTCTGCTGATGTCTCTGCTGGACAAATGCACTGGTTTATCATCGTGTCAGCCATAACAGTGCAGGTACCTCCACCTCTCCTTCACGCGGCTGGGCTTTCTTTATTTGTGACGTTGAGTCAACGTGTGGCCGAGCCGTCCCAGCCACACCAAACAACATCTCTTCAAACAGCAGGTTTAACTTGTGCCGTCTTTTCTGTCTCGTTCAGGATTCAGTTTCATCTTAGCACCTTCAAAAGAGAAACAGTCCACCTTCCAACAAAGCCCTCAAAGATCCCACCCAACCCCAGCATGGACTGTTCGCCTTCCTACCCTCTGGCCGGAGGTTCAGAAGTGTGAAATGCAGGACCACTAGACTGAAAAACTCTTTCTTTCTCTCTGCCATCAGACTCCTAAACAGCTGAGGAGTTTATTACCAGGAAATACATGATGTACTGTTTACATTCTCAGATTGCACATGCATAACTGCACAATGACTGTTGACTGCTGCTCCCATGCAGCACACATTCCCTTATTATATTCTTATATATTTTTTATTATATTGCCGCATTTGCTGCTTAAAGTGCCTTAGATTTTGTGTTACTTATTTATCTACTTTATATTTCATTTGTATTTTGTGGCGTTCATGTGGACGGCAAAGTAAGAATTTCATTGTAGAGGGAAACATGTTTTCTAACTGTGCATATGACAAATAAAACACTTTGACTTGAAGTCTGAGCTCAGGGCTTTTACAGACGCAAGATAAAATATGATGCACTGCTCCCAGCAGTTAATAAAGTGGTGGCAATCAGTGCAGCTGTAAACAACCACAGCAGTAAAACGTGACCTACACATTAATGCAGCTGTGATATTAACCCATAAGCAATCACATACAGCAGTGGAACACTGACTGGGACAGTTTTCTGCAGAATCAGTACTTTTACTTTTGGTACTTTTAGGTACATTCTCCTGATAATACATCCCCGGGCTTGTAGTGGACTGTCTTCACAATGTGGTGCTGCTGCTTGGTGTGAGGTCATGTTAAAATCTGGGTGGAGAAAAGAGGCAGTTTAAAGGCTGCTGCTGAGATGTGGAGGCCAGTAGCTGCTGAGGTGGTGTTCTGGTGGCGTGTGGGGAACATCTGTGGCGGGGGGGGCCGCCGAGCCAAAGAAAGCCCCGGCTATTTTAGATCTCCGCTCTGCAAGCTCTCCTCAGAATTGTGCATCCAAAAATAAAATAGCATGTTGGATGTGGCCTCTGGTGCCGTAGGCTTTTTATAAAATTGGCCTCACATAAACACACTTGGTATCGTCCTGACTGCACACCTATAATATCGGTCAGTCGGACTTTAACAACGTGACCCTGCATGTTGCTCAGTGTTCTGCTCCTAAAACTGAATGTCAGCATTACTGAACATGTTTATCTTAGTGAATTAGTATGTTGTCACTTTTTATTTAGAGTTAGGGTTTAAATATGTTTTACAGCGGTGCATTTCTTACTCTGTGGTTTTATTTGACTTGGATTTTTCCAGTCACAGAATGAGTTGGTGGACAGGTTGCCAGTCTGTCACAGGGCTGACATGTAGACAGACAACCACGCACACACTCAGGCTCACTCCTACAGGCAGTTTAGAGTCTCCAGTCAACCTAAGCTGCATGTCTTTGGACTGTGGGAGGAAGCCGGAGCACCCGGAGAGAAGCCACGCAGGCACAGGGAGAACATGCAGACTCCGCGGGTTTCTTCTTCCCAGTCAAAAGACAAGCGGCTGCTTTTTGGATTAGTTGGATTTGATTTAGAGCCGACTGATCGATACCCTAATAGAGGGAGTTACAGTAGTCCAGATGTGAGGTAATAAGAGCATGAATAAGTCTCTGAGTCTTTAAAGTTCTCTACTAAAGTCAAAGCCCCAGTACAACAGTATGCACACAAAATTTTAAGTATATTTGGCTGGTAATGCTTCATATCGGCTAGTACAATATTCCTCTGAAATGTCACGGAGCACAATTATAAAAAAGCATGAAATGAAAATACCTCAGTTGTACTTCAAGCTCGCAGCCAGTGATTCTGTACGTTTGTTCTGTTGCACCAGAGACTAACCAGCTCCAGTCTGACCTGCAGATCACAGTGAAGTCGATCTTTTGGAGCTTATGATGTGTTAATTGTAATTTCAGCTCCCACCACTTTGAACGTCACTGAAAATGGACCGTGACCTGTTCCCAGACTGGGACCTCTCTGATTTTTTTTCTATTTCTGTCCTCTGGTGTCTCAGATATCCAGGAATTTTACGAAGTGACCTTATTGGACGGCCAGAGATGGGCCGAGTCTTCCAGGGGCTCGGACCCGGCGGTGCCTGTCAACTTGTGGGACTTCTCCAGCCTTCAAAGCACAGCGGTGACCTCGGACACTGTGCCCAGCCTTAGCACCAGCATCGAGGTAGGAACAGACCACGGACTGAACATACTCTGTGGGTCAGTCTGACCAGGTGTTGTCAGGTGTAGTGATGATGTGGCTCAGTGACAGCCAAGTTTTCTTTCAACCTTTTCTTGCCTCTAAACTGGTTTGTTTGCTTCTGTGTTGTTTCTTGGTAACAGAAACAGAACAGCTCCCAGCAGAAATAGAAAGTATTAAAAATAAATCACACCTTTGAAAACATCACAGGATGGTGACTGAAAATGTGTTTGGTGAGAATCTGCCTGATGGAAACGGCCTCAGTCTCCGGTGTGGAGGAGCCCGGGTGCCAGGGCGGAGCAGTGAGCACAGCTGGATATTTCTTCACTTCAGATATTTTCTGATCTTTGCAGTCAGGGTGAAAACACACACCTGTGTGACTCCCCTCACTCGTCTGCCCTTCTTCAGATGTTCATATGATGAAGATGGAGTGTTACTGGGGGCAGATGACGGTGTCTGAAATCCATGAAACTGTTAGTGATGGGTATCATCTGACTCGGATCAGTGCCTGGTTATCTGGAGCACCACTACCTTTAACCTGCTCAGTGCTTTGAGCCAGAAACATGAAATCACTGTAGTGACAGTTTGTTGCACAGAAACTACACCGCTATTGTTGTGTTAACGCGTTATTTGGTCGACCAGCTCTGCTCAAAGTGCTGGGACCCTGAGTGAAAGTGGTGCTGTGATGTTATGCTCTTCCTGGGTGGTGGAGACAGGTCTCTGCCCGTCCTCTTGTTTTTGGCACCTTGACATTTACAGTTACGTGGGAGTGAGGGCTTGTCGTGTTGTTACTCAAGAAAACTGGCTTGTGATTATTCACAGACAGAACATGTGTAACTTGTTGTTTATGTTGTGTGTTAAGAGAAGAAACTCTGCTTTATCACTAAGAGTTACAATGTTTTAGGTTAGTTGGTTGCTGATGTGTTGTGTTTTAGGCCCGAACCTTCAGGCCAGCGCACAGATGTTAAGGATCCTCTGTTAATGTGAGCGCATGTTGGAGAAAAGCTGTTTCATTAAACCATCACTCCAAATATTTTGGCCTATTTATTTTATCTCATCTGTTCCACTGAGAAAGTCATGGCTGTTTTTTTTGCCTGAGGAAGAGCATGCTCTTGTTGTGAGTAAGTTCTCTTTTTGTGGTCGTCATCAGGTTCCCAGAGCCTGACCGAGCTGAGTCGGCTGCAGCTGAATCATCAAATTCAGTTTCATAGCCCTCGGTGCACAGGTGCAGAGGTTTACTGTTTGTTTGACCCCTTTAGATTGCCAGAAGATGGGGTTCAGCCCCACTCGGCTGTAGAGTTGGTGCACCCCAACCGGTGCACCGCTTCAGTCCAGACTGACTTGAGTGCCCTGAAATTATTCGGTATAGACACATTTGTCCTATGGAATGAACAGAGCAAACTGGATATGAAAACTAAGGCAGTAGAAGGACCTCTCACCTATGGTCATGAACTTTGGGTCATGACCGAAAGGGCAAGATCCCGGATACAGGCGGCCGAAATGAGCTTTCTCCGCAGGGCGGCCGGGCGTACCCTTAGAGATAGGGTGACGAGCTCGGTCACCCGGGAGGAGCTCAGAGTAGAACCGCTGCTCCTCCACATCGAGAGGAGCCAGCTGAGGTGGCTCGGGCATCTGTTTCGGATGCCTCCTGGGCGCCTTCCTAGGGAGGTGTTCCGGCATGTCCCACCGGGAGGAGGCCCCGGGGAAGACCCAGGACACGCTGGAGGGACTATGTCGCTCGGCTGGCCTGGGAACGCCGCGGCATTCCCCCGGAGGAGCTGGAGGAAGTGTCTGGAGAGAGGGAAGTCTGGGCATCTTTGGTTAGACTGCTGCCCCCGCGACCCGGTCCCGGATAAGCGGAGGAAAATGGATGGATGGATGGATGGCAGTAGAAGGAGCTTTAGCTAGGGTGCATCAGCTAATGTTTCAACGTAACATGCTTCTTCATAAGAGTCAAAACTGTAAAGTTATGTTTCCGTGTTTTCCACCGTGACAAACTCCCATCTGGCACTGAAAAAGATCCAGTGTGATCCAGGTGTGTTGTCTGCACTGAACATCTTCTCTTTCTTTCCTCTTTTTTGGACTGTAAACACACATCGACACTCGTAGGACTCGTCCCTCCTAAACGAAATCCTGCACGCGTGGGCGCACTCCAAACGCTCGCCCAGCCCTGACAGACAAGTAAGTACCTGCTGTTGGTGGGAGGGGGTGTCGGTGTTGTCCACCTTTGCCGCATGTCCCATCCAGTCCTTGTGTGCTTGGGCCCATCAGAGGGGTGGGGGTCTGGCTCTGGGTCAGGGGTCAGGTCTGTCCAGATGGCCTCAAGGTGTTGCTGTCATTGATTCACTTTGATGTAGACCTGGAGTGTGAATGTGACTGGAGTGAAACCAGAGAAGAAGTCGTGGTGACTCGTGTGGCTGAGCAGCAGAGGGACGAGAGGAACAAATTCACATGTAACAGTTTAATGGTCACTTCTGCAAAATCAAAACACTTAAGTGAGTTTCCACTGAGCTCAGGAAGATGGTACCATATTCACATTTTCCTCTTTAACAGTGACTTTATAAGAAACATAAGAAATAATGCTGATTTAGTTGAACTAGCTCTGTGCAACTGTAAAATCAGGAGAAGGAGCCATCTTTAATAGAAGGATAATAAGGATAATCATCTTTTATTTGGCCAAGCATGTTACATGAAAACCTGTTGTCTTCTCCGAGTAACGTTCTTATCGGTGACTTCCTGGCGTCAAATTTAGAAAATGATTTCACCTAGTGACAGTGAATGTACAGGGCTAAAATACTGTCTATAATTATATGTTCTCATGTTGCTGCCACACAGCAGTAGTGGACAGTGTACAGACAAACATTGTTCATCCCTATACACATCTGTCTGCCACATGTGCATAGAGCAGCGCTAGTTTTGTCTTAATTTAAATTAAACACATGTGAACTCAGACCTGTGTGATCAGATTTGGTCAAACTGTTTCCAGCCGCTCAGCACAGCTTCCTCTCTGGTTTGACAGCTCAGTCTTTGTGTTGTCGCCTCCAGATGCAGCTAAGTGGAGAAGAATCATAGCGACATGTGGAGGCAGTTTGTGCTGGTTTCAGGTTCGTGGTTCATTGGGCTTCATTCATTCTGGTTCATGTTGCCGGGTCTGAACAGTACACCTCCTGTGCTCAGAGCTGCGAGCAGATCCACAGGCTTTGGTCTGCAGCGTCGGAGTCACCGCAGGGAACATGTCCTCCCACAGTCGTGCATGTACATCAGCTTCTCTTTAATTTTGAAGATGTGAAATGATAATAATTATGTTGAAATCAGCATTTTTTTCCCCAGAATTAGTTTTTATAAAGACTAATAAGACATAAGAAATATGGACAGCACCGTACAGCGGATCCTCCATCACCTCGACACAACTCAGTCAGCTACACACAGTGGATTTTTAATTTTATATAGCTACCTTTCCAAAACAACAGGACATCACCTCGACACAACTCAGTCAGCTATACACAGTCCGTATCTACACTTATCGCGCTATGGATTTTTAATTTTATATGGCTACCTTTCCAAAACAACAGGAATGTAGACACTTTGTGCAATACAGGAAACGTTTCAGGTACATATGCATTTATTTGATATTTCTAAGATTGTAGTGCAGTAACATGTAAAAGATGGTGAGTCACTGTAAAAACTACACACACTGTGAACATCTGTTGTGGAGCACAGACGCTCGGTGCGACAGCAGCTCTGCCGGACTGAACGTTTGTTTAAAATGGGCCTAACCTGTCTTCTGACCCCAGGACCCCGATGCTAGTCTCCGACAGGTGTCAGATTTCCTCAGGTTGTCCTGTAGCTGGACTCGGAGGCTGGAGCTGTACTGATGTTCACGACCTTCATGGTGGTGGTTCATGTGGATTTCAGTTCTGGGGTGTGTGCAGGTTCTAGTCAGACTTTGACTCTTCAGGTTCCTGTGTGTGTTCACATGTGGATCAGCCCTGACATCCTCACACCTATTCATATTTTGAGTTTCTACGCTGAGTTACCTGAAGGTTAAACAGATGAAAGGAGCTGGTGTCCAGAGTAACAGGTCTGAGTGGGTTCGGACCAGCTGTGGGTTGGTCTGTCCGTGAGCGCCGTATTCACTTCTTACACCACTGTCACCCATTTGTGCACACTGTCACTGTGAAGCCTTTTCCACAGACAGATGTCATCCACCACTCGCAGCTCTGACATCTGCAGGCTAAAACATTGATTTGTGTTCATCTCCCTGCTGAAATGTGTTTTTATTGATCTGTATCTTATAAACTTTGGAGATCTCGCTGTCGTGTCTGGCAGCAGCTAGTTACAGCTCGTGTGTCTGATTTAATTAGTATGGACGGGGGTGGCTGCCAGTTTTAGAATAAAATCATTTAAACCCATTTTATTTTCTACCTGTTTGTGGGTTTTTTATATGGAAAAAAATTTAATTTAGAAAAAGTCCCAAACATAAGAAATAGAAGCTAAAATATAAATAAGCCCAAGCATTCCACTGCCACAGGTGGTGGGTAGCCGCTAATATTTAAATCTATTCAGTCTTGTATATTTTCTCTTTGCTGCTGTTTATCTTCTTGCTTTGCCCGCCCATTAGTCCAAAATTCAGATTTAGGAAATCTATACATTTTGCAGCTAAAACCAGGAAATGGTTGATTTGTTATTTTTTTTATTAGAGAAAAGATGGAAAAGTTCTTCATAATAGTTTCAGATTGTTTTTGAAAGGACTGATCAATAGATAAACCACATCGCAGCTTAATCCTTCCACTGATTCAGCTGCTCTTTTAAGTGCAAGTCACAATTTAATAGTAGGAGCGATTGTTATATGAAGCTGATGATAATGTATTTCTACTTCAGCTGCCATCGTTATGAAATATATTTAAATTAAGTTCAATGTGGTTGTAAAAAGGTTTTAAAGTCTCAAATTGAGCACAGGACTCCTGGGATGAAGCATCTCCATGTTTATCTACGGCGTATTTAAAATCAAAATTAAATCTGAAAACAGTGATGTGTACATCATCGGTGTCCTGGGTGACATTGAAAACCATGCAGCAGCACATTATTTGATGTGACACCTCATCAGTTTTATTCCTTGTTCTAAATAAACTCTCACTTCAATCCTGATGCTGTAGCACATTCCAACCGGCTGCTTTTCAGGGCCAGTAATGAGGTAAAACAATGAAATGATGATTCCATTTGAAACAGGTGATGGCGACAGGCGACTGCATCATGATTATGGTACAACAGTGGTGTCCAGGAAAGGCCGAGACCTTTAGGAGCAAAGATGGGCCGAGGACCGCCAGTTGGCCAACCTATATGGGAGAGAATTACTGAAATGTTTAAAAGCAATGTTCCTCAAAGAAAGTTAGGAGGGATTTGGATTTGTCACCCTCTTCGGTGCAGAGCATCATTAAAAGATTTAAGGAATGTGGAGGGATTTCAGTTTCCATTTTGAAACGCACATTGTGTCCACAAAAACCCAGGACTGTTGCTCCTTAAGACTTGTTTGCAGGAGGAATGGGACAAAATGATACCTGACACACTGAATCACTTGGTGTCCTCAGTCCCTAAGCATCTTTTAAGTGTTGTGAAGAGGAACGGCAGCTTCACACTGTGGTAAACACTTCACTGTCCCAACTTTGTTTGGAACGTGTTGCAGCATCAGAATTGAAGTGAGTGTTTATTACACAGAATAAAGCGGATGAGGTGTCACATCAGAGAATGTGCTGCTCTACTGTTGTCAATGTGATACAGGACACAGATGATTTACACGTCACTGTTTTCAGATTTAATTTTGATTTTACATACCGTCCCAACTTTTTTTGACCCGGGATTGTACACTGGTTACATCACTTCCTGTGAAATAAGGAGGCATGGGTGCCATGTGGAGATGACACACAAAGGTGGATGCACATGACACATTCATGGAGCTGTAAAATATTCATACTTGTGATCATGAGCTGCCCACAGTGCTTTGCCTCCTGCTGCTGCAATGCAGGCTCCTGCTCCTCCTCCTCGTCCTCTGCCATGTGCCCTTGAGTCATACACGTAATAATGAGCTGTTAGTGTGTTACAAATGTGCAGTGATGGAACATAGAACACAGCAGCACATGTAGCCCTGTTGGTACCTGTGATGAGTTTACGGTCTGATGTTCAGTAGGACTTCACAGCGCTGCATGTGAGTACAGTGACTGACGACATATCATGAGGTGGAATTAGGAGACAATGAGTTGATCAGCAGAAGGTTAATTGGTAACTATTAGATCTGAGAGATTAATTGATTCATTGATCAGTCTACTGTCAGGAAAATATTCAACTATTTTGATAAAAGTTGTAGGAACTGAACTCAGTGTAGTTCCGTTTTTATTGTGAAGTTTTCTGACTGTTCACACTTAGTTTAATTTGTTATTTTAATATCACGTCTATACATAAAACGATATGGTTATACTCCAATACCAAGTCATAGTATTTAGGGATTATAGTGTTGCTTTCAGAAACTTCAGTTTTTCTATTGAACGCCTGTGAACAACCGCATTAAATAGCAAACAGGACTAGATACTAGGTGTATTACTTACATCTACGTTTGTGACATTATTAAGAAACGAATAACTAGTTTCTCAGGCATTGCTGTAGTAGACTTTTAAAGAATGACGTGAAGGCGTTTCTACTATTATTTTTTATTTCAAAGGCTGTTTTTGGAATAATTTTGTTCAATTTACAGCAGTAGCGCTCGGTTGTTTTCCGGTTGCTTTAGTCATTATTGCTCTGAATAAAAGTGCCGCATATTTAAGAGAGCTGAGATGTCCCACAGAACCTAAACGCAGCCTCGGTCTCGGGGAGCGGGGTTCAGTGAGTCCTGCTCCCACTGAGGACGAAGGAGGGCCGGGGGAGGGATGAGGAGGCTCCTCGGTGAGCGCGCTCTCTCTCGCCGGTAGATAGTGGCTGTAGGTCGGTGTGTACGTGTGCCTGCGTGTGGATATAACGTTCTTTGTGAAGAAAACCTGCCTGGCTGGAGATGAGATGCTGATAACCGCGGGCTTGACTCCCGGCTCGGAACGATGGACTGCATCTGCATTGTCACGACTAAGGTAACAACCTGACAAAAAGCGTATGAAATACCACTACACCAACATTTAAGACGATGGATTTACTTAAGT